GTTCTCGCATTCTATCAAGTTGGTCAAGACCTCCGGCTTGAAACCGATGCATCCGCTCTAAGAGGTCTCGGATTCGTGCTTTGGCAAAAGCAGAATGATCAGTGGCGTATTATTCAGTGTGGATCCCGCTACCTGTCTGATGCTGAAACACGTTATGCTGTCATCGAGTTGGAAATGCTCGCTGTAGTATGGGCCGTGCGCAAATGCCGCATCTACCTGTCTGGTGCGCCATTTGAAGTAGTCACCGACCACAAGCCCCTGATTCCGATCATCAACTCATATTCGTTGGATCAGATCGAGAACCCGCGTCTTCTACGATTACGCCTCAAGCTCCAAGCCTATCAGCTGCAGGCATCTTGGCGAAAAGGTTCTGAAAATGCCTTCGCCGATGCGCTGTCCCGGAATCCTGTTGGCATTCCTTCCACCACTGATGAGCTTGGTGAAGCCCCGTCGCTTCATTGCCGCAGCATTCAGATCTGCATGGTGCACTCGGACACTGAGCCGAATGCAAATCTCAAGGTTGCAGAGCTGCGTGAAGCTGCAGCTGCAGATGCCCCGTACCAGTCATTGATTGAGTGTATCTTGACTGGATTCCCTGATCGCCAGCAGAAGTTGCGTGCGTACTGGAATGGACGTGAGCATCTCTCCGTCGACCATGGCATTGTGTTGAAGGGCAACCGCATTGTTGTTCCTGAATCATTGTGTGCTCAGGTATTGCACAACCTCCACGCTTCACACCAAGGCCTAGTGCGTACTAAGTCTCGTGCGCGTCAGCTTGTATACTGGTCCGGTATCACCAAGGACATTGATACACTCGTTCGTTCTTGTCCTGCTTGCCGCGAACACCAGTCGTCCCAGCCAGCTGAGCCCCTGCTGAACGACCGCACCCCGACACCCCGACGTTTGAATGTGCATCTGCCGATTTGTTCACTTGTCAAGGTCACGACTTCCTTGTGTATGCAGATCGTTTGACCGGTTGGCCCTGTGTCGCGCGTACTGGCCGCACCACCTCATCGCATGACGTGATACTAGCATTCCGTCGCTGGTTCTCTGATGTTGGTGTTCATGCTGTGCTGTGTACAGATGGTGGTCCCCAGTTCTCCTCGCATAAGTTTGCTGAGTTTTGTACGCGCTGGCAGGTAAACCATGTCATGTCCTCTCCCCACTACCCGCAGAGTAATGGGCACGCCGAAGCTGCTGTCAAAGCCATGAAGCGTCTTATCACCAAGACAACCGTGAATGGCAATCTTGACACAGATGACTTCCGCCGAGGGCTACTGGAATGGCGAAACACACCTGGCTCCTCTGGTCAGAGCCCCGCTGAGCTCCTATATGGCCGCTCTCTCCAGTCATTCGTCATTGCACATTGGAAGGAGTTTGATTCATCCTGGCTCTCCAAAGCGACGACACGTGATGAGACTGCCATGCCATCCGACGATGCCGTCACAGACAAGTCGTCAACTCGTCGCTCGTTGCCGCAGCTCCGCCTCGGCACCCACGTGGATGTTCAGCATCCGCGCACCAAGCAGTGGTCTATTCGTGGGGTCATTGTTGCTGTCTGTAATCATCGGGACTACCTAGTGAAGTTGCCGAGTGGTCGCATTTATTGGCGGAACCGCAGATTCCTGCGTCCGTATCGCCCACTTGTGCCTGCACCGCTTGTTGTCCAACCGGCTGCTGCTGACGCCTCTTCCCCGCCGCCGCCGTCCCGCCGCAGCGCACGTCAGCGCAAGCCACCCCAGCGTTTAAACATTGGTTCGCATCATGGACAGTCCTATGATTGACACTCTTGATCACTAATGTCAATTTCTGCTGTCTCTGCTTTGTTGTTTTCATTCTTCATTTTGTTGTTTTCATTCTTCATTTTGTTTTATTTATGATAGATGCTGCTGTCACAGGTTTCGCAACATCTCGAAGGGGCGTGATGTGTATCTATATTCATTACGTAATAGTTGTACTGCATGCACGCACACACACGGATTAGTTGAGTGTGCTTCTTTTTCCTGTTGTTCTTTCTCATGACATGTTTTGTTTCCGTTCCCAAGTCTTCACGAATAAATAGTAACGTATCAGACGTGTTTGCAATCGTACCCTAGGCAATGACGGCAAACACATAAGTTCCGTACTCCGGAACATTTCCCTGCTCGAAAACGGCGTATAAAAAATCAATAGCGCCTCTACGGATTTTGGAACGAAAAGTCGTACTCCGGAACCTCCCTAATATCTTCATCTTTGGTACGAGCGTCGAAGAGCACAACCTACGACTCGTCGCCTGCCTCCAGCGGCTCCAAGATCACAACGTTACACTCAACCGAGCCAAATGTCACATCCTCAAGCCTCGGCTCGAGTTCATGGCTAGCGTCTACTCCGACAAGGGCATCCGTGCCTCTCCCAGCCACCAGCAGTCTGTGGCTGCATTCTCTACGCCATATTGCGTCAGCGACATACAGAGTTTCCTGGGTCTCACCAACTTCCTCCGCCGTTACATTCCTAACATGGCCGATCTCACCACGCCACTCCGCGCTCTCACTAAGAAAGGTACTGTTTGGCGTTGGACTGATGTTGAGCAGCAATCATTTGATGCACTGAAGGAGGCCATCGCCGAAGACCGCATGCTGCAATACTTCGACCGCAAGCGGTACACTTCACTGTATGTCGACGCATCGCCCACCGGCCTCGGCGCAATTCTGTGTAAACGCCAAGACAACGGCCACGATGCACCCGTAGCGTTCGCCAGCCGTGCACTCTCCGATGTCGAGCAACGGTATTCCCAAACTGAACGGGAAGCATTGGGCGTCAAGTTTGGCTGCCTTCGTTTTCACCACTACTTAGCAGGTGATCCACAGTTCACCGTTGTCACCGACCACAAGCCGCTCCTGCAACTCATGGCCGTCGGATCGAGACCTCCGCCACGAATTGAGCGCATGGTCCTCCGCCTGCAGGATCTCAGCTTCCAGCTCCAGTACAAGCCCGGCCCAGAAAACCCGGCCAACGTCCTCAGTCGCAAACCGCAGCCTCATCCCGACTTGCCAAACGTCGACGCACAGGAAGACACTGCGTACATACATGCCCTAGCTACAGCAGCTAAGCCGAATGCGTTGGCTCTGAAGGAGATTGCGGACGCCACCACCACAGACACCACACTGCAAGCCGTCCTTTCCTCTCTGCAAACTGGCCGCTGGGATTCCAACCACACCACGGTCCGCCCGTACTTTGCCCTCCGCCATGAACTGTCTGAGAGTGACGGTCTACTACTCCGCAACGACCGTCTCGTCATTCCCACGGCCCTTCAACGGCGTACCCTGCAGCTGGCACACGCGGGCCACCAAGGTATCGTCCACACCAAGCAAAGGCTCAACAGCAAGGTTTCGTGGCCCAACATGGCTACTGAAGCCGAAGCACTCTGCCGGCAATGTAATCCGTGCCAAGCAACTCTCAACGACACCGCTACGTCCGGAGTCAGTGCCCACACCACCGTCCACCACGCCGTGGCAACGAGTTTTCGTCGATTTGTACGGACCCACGCCGAACGGTCAGCACCTGCTTGCCACTATCGACCAGTTGACTCGCTACCCGGTCATCAACGTGTTCAGCACGACACCCACTACGGCCGGTGTTGTTAAAGCTCTGCGCTCTACATTCTCCATGTTCGGCTTGCCCGAAGAGCTAGTCTCAGACAACGGTCCTCAGTTCCGTTCTTCGGCTTTTGCTGATTTCCTCGCGCAACACGCTATCCAGCACCGCCGCACCCCTCCTTTGTGGCCACAAGCCAACGGAGCAGTCGAGCGCCTCAACCGTACCATTGGCAAAGTTCTGCAAACTACCAAGCTAGCTGGCGAAGACATCAATGTTGCATTAGACCAATGGCTTCTAGCGTACCGCAACACGCCACACCCTGCCACTCACGAGGCACCGGTAACACTCATGTTTGGTCGCCCCATCCGCGACAGCATACCCTGCACTACCCCAACTGCACCAGACTTGCCTTCAGATGCCCACCGTGACCAGCAATTCCGCCAATCCCAGTGCGACGCTGCCAATGCCTACCGCCGGTCAAACGCCCCCATCCTCACTCCTGGTCAGCGCATCTTACGCCGCAATGAGCAGGCACACAACAAGCTCTCACCACAGTGGGATCCCAACCCCTGGACCGTGGACCGGACCTCCGGGTCTACGGTGACGATCTCCAACCCGGCAACTGGCCAAAGATCGACTCGCCATATGTCGTTCGTCAAGCCCGTAATTGTTGTCACGCCGCCAGCCCATCACCCACTACCAGCTGACAGTGCTGCCACCACACTAGCTCCCGGTCCACCTGCCGTCAACACTGGAACCCAGGCAGTACCTCGCCAGCAACCGTCCCGAGCTGCCAAGTCGGCCCACAGCACTGTGACCCCTCTACCGCCCCGATCTGCTGGGACACTCATGCATACCCAGTTCATTTTCTGTTGGGAAAGGAAGGGCTCTAGTTTGCTCTATCTGTCGGACTCTCTTCGTGCATTCTGGTTTATGCCTTTCCCTTACTGTTCGTTCGTTCTTTCCGCCATATCCGAATCTTCTCTTTACTAGTCTTTAGCGATAGAACATTCCTTCTGCGTTGGGAGGGATGTAGTGTTCACACATACATATATGGACTGTCACACGCATATATGTACACAGCGCCGTTTGTACTCCTATCCATTTCCATAGGCCGCTTTCCACACCTGTGCTGACAGTCGGTACGCACCGACTCTGTACTCATGCACGCACACCATTACATTCTGTTGGCATCATATTGCGAAGCTTTCCGGAGCTCCGAGTGAGTTGTTGTTTGGAATAAAGTAAGAGACCAACATTACAACATCCGAGTTTTAATATACTATGGATTGCCATCCTAAACGTATAGTTGCCTTGTCACTTGTTCAGATTGAACGACGTTTTCGTGATTTACATATGAATTGGTTGCAGTGGGTGTGTGCACCCTAAGAAAGAACCTATCACAGTTCCTAACAGTTGCTTACCTGATCTACAGGTCTGGCTGGTGGTCTCGCATCCAGACCTGGTGGACAGAGACAGTGCATCACTCTGTTCTCTATGAGTGATTTGTGTGGACGAGGTACCTCCAGAATACAAGTGACGTGATTGGCACACTTGATGTGGCAGTCTCCCCTGCACTCGGAGTAGCTGCCATACCTGCCATTATGCACATCACAGCGATGTTCACACCTGCACAGTACAGATGTCAAAAGAAGAGTAGATCGTGAACCAGCAATATGCACACACCATTGCAGCACACACCATAACTACAAATCTACAATTCAACCTCTCTTATCGCAGGTACCGCGGGACTCAGAACACAGTACATGTGCGAACACATCTTGTGATGCTGTGAAAATCAATGAAAATAAAACTGGGAGTACACGTATGGCGCAAAAATCAAATGTCACTGCCTGTATTTTTTAGAGGGCGCTGCTGTGAATGGTGTCGGTCCAAGGCAGCCGAGCCACTCCCTTCATCCTATACTCCCAATCAAACTCACGCACGTACGCCAAAATCGGATGAGTGCGCCCTGTCGGAGTCGTGGTGACGCCTGGTACCGTTCAGGTTTCAACAGGTCACATTACAGGACTGCACTTTTGCGTGCATTCATCGAGCACTACACCTGTAGCCATGCATGACTGTATGATTTATGTGTCTGTAGGTCATGTATGGTATCACTCATGCGTGAAATCATGTGATCATCAACCCTGTTTTTCCCGGGCTTGTGCTCCTGTGCACGAGACGTATGCTTCAGATGTATGGCTTTTTTCCCGCTGCACGGCATCTCACGTGCAGAGTTTTTCCGCGTGCAGTGCTCTAGCAGCTTTGGTTTTGTTGTTGTTTTTATTCTCCTTGTGTTGGAAAGAGTTCATGGTGAACAGTGGTTGAATCCAATTCTAAGTTACTTCTCAGTTCTAGCTAGGTTCTTGATAGGTTTTTGCTAGGGCATTGTTAGAGTACATCCAAGATAATCCAAGAGGGAGTTGGTGTTTTGAGAGTGAGAACTCGAACCAGTAAAGTTTGTCTCCATTGTTGAACGTGGGTTCGGAAAGTATCCGCAATCGGTATTACAGTTACGGTACTGATGCAACCTGGTTCCGGGGAATACGGAACATAGTGGTCCTTCGAGCCGGATCACGTCCACGATGGAGAAGCTCAGGCGGAGTCAGCGCACGACGAAAGGCGTCGCAGCGCCAAAACTCGGGTACACAGACACCCAGTCCTACGCTGGTGCTAGTGGTGGAGATGACAGGATGACCGAAAGTAGGAGCCAAGCCGTCACCGCGAATTCAGCTGACAGGCTCAGCGCCAGGATAGCCGTGTTACAAGCGGAACAGGCTGTGGCGGAAAAGCGGCTGGAAATCGCCCGGTTGACGGAGCAGGCGATGTCGGAAGCCGAAGGGACGTTGAGGGAAAGGTCCGTTGAGACCTCCAGCTCTCCTGCGATGCGAGAAGAAGTCTTCCAGGAAGCGGGTGAGTTGCATGAGGCGGTTGCAGCCCAAGATACGTCGCTTATCGACTTTGACGATGATGTAGTTGCACCTAGTTCAGTTGCTGTTCCAACACCAACAGAGTCACACACGGTAGTCGGTGTAGAATCTCAGCCATCAGAAGGAGAGGCTTCCCATAGATCTACGCACGTAACGTCAGAATCAGCAGTAGGTCTACACCATGCAGAGGCCTGTCAGGCTAGCACACCACCACCGGTAGACGTAGTGATAGACGCACATGTAGAGAGGGACTCAGATGTCCAGCATGTCCGTGCATTCACTCCGGCACACAGCTACCACTACCAGGCACCGCCATGCGTAGTCCAAGATCCGATTCATGAACACCTGAATGAACCTCCGTTTCATCAACCAGAACCGCAGGCACAGGCACAGACACAGGTACTTCAAAGAACGATTGAACACACCACTGCTGTTGTAGCCGATGCCACTTACGCTGACTATCTAAGCGAGTCCATTCAGCGGGGAATAGGGCCCGAGCCCTGGGATAGGACATTCGTAGAGCGTCAGCAACTGCCGAGATCCAGTACTGGCAGTAGTCTACGCAGTGTAGAACGTGAGTTCCGGGCCAAGGAAGTTGCGTATCAGCAGCAACTACTACAGCTTCAGACGATGATCGATGAATCCGCGATCGTCGAGAAGCGGCGCCAGCGAGACGCTTACGCACTGCAGACGAACCTAGAGGAAGCTGAGGCGAGTAGGGCAATGGTCGAGCTAGCGTGCGACAAGCAAGCCAGGGATCTTGCGGCAGAACGAGAACGCAACGATGAGCTGGCCCGATCGATGACAGAGCTGAGGCAGCGGCTATTCGCAGCGGAGTATGCCCTACGAGAAAGCCGTGCCAGACAACGACGAGCGCCGAAGTCTGGTAGTGTCACTGAGCCTGTCAGAGAAGTACAAGGCTTACCGGTAGTGCAACCACAGCCTGCACAGGTCCACGAGGAGAGACGTGAGCGCTGCGAGTCAACCGCAAGCACAAGGCATAGCGGTATCCCGAGCACTACGTCACCCAGTCACCCACACGCATCCATGCCAGTACCCGCACCACGAAAGCACCGTCGCGACACGAGTGCACGTGCACGCGGATACATGACAGTCTCAGACTCCGACTCAGAGTCAGGGCCACGTGGATACTCTAGTGCCAGAGCTACGGAGACGTGTACCGGTGGTAAGGGCGCAGCAAGTAATGCGAGTGAGGTCGAAGACGCGTACATGAGTGGTTGTACCTCTACTACCGGTACTATTACTGGCAGCACAGTTAACAGCAATCCTGCGCGTCAGATGGCAGACCTGGCCAGTGAGTTTGTAGGTGCAATCACCCAGGCCCTACGTCAAGGGCAGACCTCCCAGGTCGAGGATAGTAACGCTGGCATCAGACAGCTGGCTGCACGCCAGTCATCCACCAGCAGCAAGCTGCCAATCTTCTCTGGCAAGCCGGAGGAATGGCCCGCGTTCCTCGCACTGTACCGAAGCAGCACGGAGCAATGCGCATACTCAAACGCAGAGAACGTCCAGCGCTTGCAGACCTGCCTGAAGGGACCAGCCCAGGAGGCAGTACAGCTGCTCCTGGCCGTGCCAGACAATGTAGACGAGGCCATCCGGACACTGGAGCGTCGTTTCGGCCGGCCGGAATTGGTAGTGAAACAGCTAATCGAGCAGGCCAAGGCGCTGAAGCCAGCCAGAGCAGAGGACACGGACGCCCTGCACTCCTTGGCCACATCTGTGAGGAACATCGTCCTCACTATGAAGCTGCTAAAGAGCCATGGCCACAGGAACAACCCTGCGCTCCGTGATGAGCTGGTGGCCAAGCTGTCGCTCCCCCATCGAATGCAGTGGGGCGAGTATGTGAAGGCCAACGGCCTTAGTACGGATGAACTAGACCTTGGTGTCTTGTCTGAGTGGTTGGCCGAACGAGCGGAAGCCGCCTCTCTGGTGACACCAACCTCCACCAAGACGGCCGCCGTTCAGCCAGCCCCTCCGCCTAGAAGGTCAACGACCCTGGCCGCAGTAACAGCGGGCACTACCCGCGACGCCACCTCTGACTCCCCAAGGAAGAAGAAGAGCTGCAGGAAGTGCATGGAAGAGCACGCAATGGCGCAGTGCAAGGAGTTCCAACAGCTACCCGTCCAGAAGCGATCAGAGCTGGTGCGCCTCTTGGGCCTGTGTTTTAACTGTCTACAGGACGGCCACTTCGCCAGAAATTGCACCTCGAGCCACTGCAGGAAGTGCAAAGGCAAGCACAACACGCTGCTCCACAGGGACGACTCTGACAGGCCTAGCAGCGGTAGCCAACAAAACGCCGCTCGCACCCAACACCGCGAATATGGCTTCTGCAGCGAGCGCCCTGCATGCCGAAATCCCAGCAAACCTACCAGCTCTGATGACGACTGTGGGGACAGTGAGATGTGGAGACGTCGAGCTACAAGCAACGATCATGCTGGATTCTGGGTCCACCTGCAGCTTCATCACCACCGACATGGCTGAGAAGCTGAATGTCCCACCCGGTGAGACCACGTCCGTGCGCACGACTGTTCTCGGTGGCAGCTGTCTGCAGCACGAGTCCAGGATCGCTCCCATAGAGATCTGTCACAAAGACTCAACTGCAACAACCCCAGTGCAGGCGGTCGTTCTCCCTCAGATAACCGCCGACATGCAACGTGTGGACTGGGATGCGCAGAAGGCAAGCTGGCCACACCTGCGCGGGATGAATCCGGATACCCCAGCTAACCCAACTGTGGACATCCTACTGGGCCTTGACGTTCCACAGTTGCACGCCTCGCTAGCCGAACGCCGTGGGCCTGGCCATGGTCCAATCGCAAGAAAGACACCACTCGGATGGATTTGTTTCGGTCTCCTGGAGGGGAGCGGAACATCGGCGGAACCAACCGTCCACCACGCCACACATGCCGCGACCGCAGAGCCCACCGAGCCAACCCTGGAGCTGAATGCCATGGTGCGTAGCATGTTCAATTTAGACACCATCCGCTCTACAGCCACGGGAGAGACCATGTCTCGAGCTGAGTGTGAAGCCGAGAAGGTGACTGACGACACCATGAGCCTCAACAACAACCGTGTCACCATTGGCATCCCGTGGGTCGCTGAAGACAGAAAGCCTCACGTGACCTCGAACAGACCGATGGCCCAACAACGACTGGCGAGTCTCCAACGGTCCCTGTACAAACGACCTGAGCTCGCAGCAGCGTACGCCGGTGTCATCCAACAGTACCTGACGAAGGGGTATATCCGCGAGGTGCCCGAGACGGAAGTGCACAACGATGCGGATGACCAGTGGTTCCTGCCCCACTTTCCCGTGATCAAGGAGGACCGCACCACCACCAAGGTGCGGATAGTGTTTGACGCGGCGGCCAAGAAGAACGACGTCTCGATCAACGAGGAGATGCACGCCGGCCCAGCACTACAGAACAACATCGTGAGTTGCCTACTCAAGTTCTGTAAGGAACCTGTGGCTCTGATGGCAGACATCAGCGAGATGTTCCTGCAAGTGGAGCTGGCTGAGAGAGACCGCAGGTATCACCGATTCCTGTGGGAGGTCGACGGAAGAGCCAAGGTGTTCGAATTCCAGCGAGTGTGCTTCGGGTGTAAGGCGTCGCCATACCTCGCCGGAAAGGCCGTCCAGGCTGTCGCGGCCACCTATGCCGCCGAAGGGTCACCCACACACACCATCATCATGGACAACCTCTATGTGGACGACCTACTCGCGTCTGCGCCAACGCCAAAGGCGGCGGTGGGCCTACGTACTGACGTCCAGGAGACACTGGCCAAGGGAGGCTTCCATCTACGGAAGTGGATGTCGAACAGTGCAGAGGTCATGAAGTCTGTGCCAGAAGCCGACCGGGCGCCGAACACGCTGATCTCGGTAGCTGACCACCAACACCCCACGCTACCCTGCGTGAAGACGCTAGGAGTCGCCTGGGATGCTGAGAGCGACCATTTCACGTTCAAGTACCAGGTGCCCGTCATCACGCAGTACACCAAGCGCACTGTCCTGAGCAAGATGGCCTCTCTGTTTGACCCACGAGGGCAAGTGTCACCCTACACCATCCGAGCAAAGGTCATGTTCCAGGACGCCTGCCTCCGCGGGCTGGAATGGGATGAGGAGTTCGCAGAGCCTGAGGCTAAGGGTTGGAGGAAGTTCTTCGAGGAACTGCCCAAGCTAGAAGCCGTGAGAGCCACCAGGTCATTCAAGGACCCAGACCGGGATCCGGCCGATGCAGAGCTCAGCCTCCATGTGTTCGTTGACGCATCCGACGCAGCAGTCGCAACAGCAGTCTACGTACGGGCGAGTTATCCAGACGGCATGGCTCGGTCCACGCTGGCCATGGCCAAGGCTAAACCAGCCCCGCTACACCGACAGTCGATCCCCATGCTTGAGCTACGAGCAGCTGTACTCGGCGCCGAGGTAGCCGAACAAGTCGCCCAAGCCCTCGGCATCAGCTCGTCCGACATCACGTACTGGAGTGATAGCCTCAATGTCCTGTACTGGCTTCGCTCACACAGCCGCCGTTTCAAAGTCGAGGTGGGCAACAGGGTCAGCAAGATCCAAGCACTGTCGGACCCCCGTCAGTGGAGGCACGTTCCGACATCAATCAACCCTGCGGACAAGGGCACCCGGGGCCTATCTGCAGCCCAGCTCGCATCCGATGACGACTGGTGGCATGGCCCGAAGTTCCTACGCGGACCCGAGAGTGCATTCCCGGCGCGGCCGATCGAGGTTCCCAGTAGTCTGCCGGCAGAGCTGAAGAAGCGGTCCGCTATGTCGTTCAGCGCGGTTCCAGGGAAGTACCAGCTTGACCCCTCCAACTTCTCGTCTTGGACGCGGCTCATCCGTGTCACCGCTTGGTGTCAGCGCTTTGTACGTAACGTCCGTATACCGAGGGAGGCTGGCGCCAACAGACCAACACCCGCTCCACGACGCAAGTTTGGATCTGCCAAGTCAGTGAACGGTATGACAGTACCCGCTCTCTCCCCTGCAGAGGTCCAGGCGGCCGACGTGTTCTGGGTACGGAAGGCCCAGGAGGAGGTGTATGGCAAGGTCATCAAGCGACTGGAGTCCGGCAAGGAACCCGATCCCAACGAGCCATTGCTGAAGCTGCGACCCCAGCTGGAGGAGGTACATGGCACAACCGTACTGACGGTTGGTGGGAGACTCACCACTGCACACCATCTGCCGCTGACGACAAGACACCCCATCATCCTGCCACCGAAACATCGGGTCACAGCCCTGATCGTGGATGACGAAGACGAGAGATGTCAGCACTCCATGGGTCCCAACCACCTGCTGGCCAACCTCAGCAACCGGTACTGGCTGATAAACGGGAAGTCCGTTGTGCGACAGCATCGCCACAGGTGCGTCAAGTGCCGACGAGGCTACGCGAAGGCTTTGACTCCAATCATGGGAGGGTTGCCGGATTACCGGACCTCGTCACCACTTATCGCCTTCGGCAAGGTGACCATCGACTTTGCCGGTCCATTTCTGACGCGCCAGGGACGAGGCAAGGTGCAGCAGAAGCGGTATATCTGCGTATTCTCGTGCCTGCTGACCAGAGCGGTACATCTGGAGCCCGTCAACTCGCTCGACACAGATGGGTTCTTGATGGCGATGACCCGATTCTGCAAGAGGCGTGGAACCCCGGAGTTCATAGTGACAGACAACGGGTCGAACTTCACCGCCGCAGAGCGACAGCTGCGCGAAGCCACCTGCACGATAGATCAAGACCGCCTAACCACCCACTCCGAGCTGCGAGATGTACAGTGGCATTTCAACCCACCGAGAACGCCCCACTTCGGTGGTGTAGTAGAAACGATGGTCAAGGCAGTCAAACGCGCACTCTGGCATGTGCTGCACCAGGCTGGCCTCACGGATGAGGAGTTCTCAACAGCGCTGGTACATGCCGAGGCAATGCTGAATTCCCGTCCCCTTACCACCGTATCATCTGACAGCGACGATCCAGAAGCGTTGACGCCAAACCACTTCCTGATGGGACGCGCGGCTGCAGTCACACACCTCGAGGCGGAGACAGAGGATCTGGAGAAGGTCCACCCCAGACGGCGCTGGCTGTTTCTACAAGTGCTGACAAGGCAAGTTTGGAAGAGGTGGCTGCGAGAGATGGTCCCGGCGCTAAACGTCCGGTCCAAGTGGTACAGGAAGGCAAAAGACGTCGAGGAGGGTGAGGTCTTCCTTGTCATGGATGAGAGTACTCCGCGCGCGACATGGCCTCTGGGACGCGTCACAGCCACATACCCAGGGCAAGATGGTGTCGTCCGTGCAGTCAACGTGAAGATCAAAGGCAAGGAGTATCGACGATCAGTTCATCGCCTCATCCCACTGGAGGTAACAGAGGGTGAGGTGGAGCTCGACTCCGAGAACTGCCCAGCCACAGCCAACGTCAATGTGGACAATGTCACCAGCTGAGCGAATAGTGGATGGTGGTACGGCAGTGGCGATGAGGTAGTAAGGCTGTGACTGTAGTGTTAGCAAGCAATCCACAATCAGAGTGAACAATACATCCAACCGGCTAGATAAGACGTATCCTCGTTCCCGGATATGTCTAGTGACGTTACGGCATGCATTTGACACAATGATGTTAGGTGTGACATCCAATAGCAGTTCCCCAGGAGTTAGAACATCACTCGGAATATTAGTTTGTCTCACTCGCATACATTGATTAGGCTATGATTCGTTCGCGAGGGAGGTATGTCGGAGTCGTGGTGACGCCTGGTACCGTTCAGGTTTCAACAGGTCACATTACAGGACTGCACTTTGCGTGCATTCATCGAGCACTACACCTGTAGCCATGCATGACTGTATGATTTATGTGTCTGTAGGTCATGTATGGTATCACTCATGCGTGAAATCATGTGATCATCAACCCGTTTTTCCCGGGCTTGTGCTCCTGTGCACGAGACGTATGCTTCAGATGTATGGCTTTTTTCCCGCTGCACGGCATCTCACGTGCAGAGTTTTTCCGCGTGCAGTGCTCTAGCAGCTTTGGTTTTGTTGTTGTTTTTATTCTCCTTGTGTTGGAAAGAGTTCATGGTGAACAGTGGTTGAATCCAATTCTAAGTTACTTCTCAGTTCTAGCTAGGTTCTTGATAGGTTTTTGCTAGGGCATTGTTAGAGTACATCCAAGATAATCCAAGAGGGAGTTGGTGTTTTGAGAGTGAGAACTCGAACCAGTAAAGTTTGTCTCCATTGTTGAACGTGGGTTCGGAAAGTATCCGCAATCGGTATTACAGTTACGGTACTGATGCAACCTGGTTCCGGGGAATACGGAACACGCCCTACTAGATAGGGGTTTGTGCGGAAACTTCACTGGAAGTGTCACTTCGTTCTTATACAAGCACGGAAAAAATGATGGAACTTTCAGAGCATGTAGGCTTCAGGATGCTGCAGGGAATGGTCGTGGTTCGCCGAGGCTGCAATACAGCGCTCCGACTTTTTTCTCAGTCAAACACGGTCTCTTTAGCTAAAACGAATTAACTCGTCCCTAATTGTCAACTGTTCATGAATTTCTGCAGTTCTTGATGATGGACCACCGAGTCTGCATTTTTTTCCGACGCTATTCCGACACGTGATCGATGGCGCAGATTCGCATTTTTCTGACCTTGAATCTACTCTCTCGCCGGGAAAGAAGCAACAGCGCATCTTGATGGAGAACATAGCCATGTTCCTGTCCAAAGCAGGTAGCGGGCTGACACTGCTCCAGGGCTAGGGGCAGTCCTGAATATGCTTGTCTCTGCTTAGTTACCGTCAGCGAAATACGGCATTCTGAATCAGTGCTCCTCTGATTTTTACCCGACCCGTTTCACATACAAGTGCAAATCCACCACCACGACAGCTACACTACATCAGCTCACACGTATCGGTCGGCAAGTGTTTGCCTGGTCTACGCCTGGCTTGTACGGAACCTTTGCTTCAGTGTAACGTTATGCTGGGTGCAGTGAAGTCATGTTACATCATACGCTGTACGTAGACCATACAAAGACAAAGGAGACAAAGGAGCAAACGGACTGGGAAAAAACCTAAATACGAACTGGGTCCCTAAACGAGCCCTCCGGCACTCGTGGCAGAAGTCTACGATTTAGTATCACCGTACACATAACATGGACTAGGGTGCTTACTCTTCGCCAGCCCAGCCAAAGATGCAGTCGCAATAACCAAAACTAGCGCTGCAAATACCACGGCCATTGCAAGAGCTATTAGCCCCGCAACTTGTTGTACTCGCGCAAAGTGAGCCTGCGGTCCCCGGATAACAGGCTGTAAAAAATACACAAAATGCACGTACGCACACATGCACCGTGCAGGCCCGTCACAAGAGAAGCAAATCAGTTAATCACCCAATCCATGCTCCACTGGACTGGCAAAGCCATCGGGAGCTCCCATTGCATCACATGGAGCACATTGGGATAAAACCTGTACACCCCCTTAGCCTACATTTTACTGGTGTTGCCAGCACAGACAACGCGCTGCTTTGTAAAACCCGTTCATTACTGACTTGATTTAGGTAAACTGCTACATGCACTACGTCAGCAAGCTGCTTGGATAATAACTTTCGTTCCCCTTCTCATTCATTTTGATTATTTTGGGCTTCCTAGAAAGCTCTTGGCTAGAGGAACAAACTAGTGCGAATTCCACCTGATATAGTGCAACTAAACTGGTGCAATAGTCCTGGAAAGACAGACACAAAACAAGACTTTGAGCCAATTTGGCAAAGCCAATGGTATTTTCGTACTTTTTGGTTCATGCTATCAATAATCCTGAGGCTTACATGCAAAGCTATTGACAGACAAAAGGTCAACTTCAGGCAAGTTCGCCATACATGTAGGTGTTGGAAACGAATGTTGTCCCTGCCCTTTTGGAGGGTATGTGCCCCTTTTGGCACGTGTGTGCTGGGTACGCGTGGTCGGTGTGCGGACTGCGCAGGTTGCGCATGCCTGCATATTATTGTACGCATTCTTGTTGTTTGTGGCCTTCTGCTTGAGACTCTAATTGGAGTAAGACTAAAATAATCTGTCCTCTGAGTGTGGCGTACGTGTGATGTATGACTAAGAGAGTAATCGGAAGGGCTATCGCCGAGGCATAAAACTCCCCGGCGACAATTGGCGCCCAGCTAGTGGCATCGTTCCCCACGACCCTGAGATCGTTTTCGTTTTCGCCGTGGCTTCAAATCTTGCCTTCTCCACACGTCCTCGCCATGGCTCCGCTTTGCTCCATCTGCTCAACCCTGACGCCGGAGCTCCTACTCAGGTGAGCCTGCTTTGTCTGCCCTGCGTAATGTTTTGTACCTTGTACGTAGTTCTCCTGGTACTAGTCTTCGATTTGGGATTTTCAAACTAATTGTTTCGCTTTGTGGCATTGAAGTCCCGTGTTGTTTGTTTTCTTGTGTACAAGTACTCTCGTTCGAGCCTCGCTTCTGTTAGTACATGATTGTGGCCCACGTTGTGTGTGTCACTTTTCGAGTGCTTGTGTGTGCGGTGTTTTGAACCAGTGTACATTGTCGCCCTCCGGCCTCTGGCTGTTCGAGTGGTCGTGTGCACTGTGTTTTCACACCTTCTGTTGTCCGTGCTGTCGTGCATGCTCATCGTGTTGCTTGGTAGTCAGCATGGCCATGGGTAGCTTTGCTCGTGTTGCTTACTCGCCCTGTGTTGTGCACTGGTGCACGTCGTTGCGTTGTCGTCGGATTGCTCCGATCCTGTGTCAATCGATTGGTTTGGTAGATGTCCCCATCGATTTTCTCGATGTGGTGAGTCTGGTGACACTCGTACTCCGTCGTTTCCAGTTTCAGGTACATGTCCTTTCTTTTTCATTTTACTCGTATCCATGTTTTGTGTCGAGCGTTTTAGTGCTCCGTCTGGTTGTTCCGCTCATGTGGAATGGCTGTCGCCCAGTGGTGTAACATGATTCTGAGATTCTCGTTGACGGTCCGGGTGGCAATATTTCTGTGAGCGTGTTGTTTGGTCTTTGTGTTTTGGCACGTGGGTCTCTCCATTTCACCTAGGGGGGGGGGGGGGCGTCCGATCATGGTGAGCCACGGTCTGCCTGGTGGGCTGGTGGGATCCGGCGCTTTATTTGTATCGGTTCACCTTGCGGGTGTTCGGTTTCCGTGTTTTGCTGGCTGGCCTTTGTGCGTCCCAGTGGTGTTCAGGATGGTGTTTTTTTGTGTTTCGTGAGCGGATGTGTTTCACGCGTGATATTCAGGTTCAATCCCTGTGGGTTTTTCAGGTTAGAGGCCTGTGGGTTTTTTTCAGGTTCGAGGCCTGCGGTTATTCAGGGTAGCGCCCTGTGGTTTTTCTATGTTAATTTTTGTTTGCCTATTGGTGACCAATTTGTATGTGTGCTATCTGGTGTCCTCATTGATAGACTGCCCCTGTTTCCGTAGGCGTGTTCAACGTTGCTGTTCTGCCGTTCCTTCTTGTGTTTTTTTTGTCTGAATTTTGGCTCCTGGTATTGCTGAGATGTTTGCGTCAGTCCGTGTTTCTTTCTTTCTGTGTGTGTCTCTGTGAGTTTTCGTAGCCCCATCGGCTGCGTGATGGTTTTCCGGACAACTCCTGTGCTGTCAGATGACTGGTCACCCGGTTCAGCTGCCGCGGTCTTCGCAGTACCGTCGGTTTGCCTTGGCTTCGCACCAGGGCGAGGTGGTTGTTTTTCGGGGGCCCACGCCTGAAAGTTTGGCGATTCCCTCTATGGGTGGGCCCAGTCTGTTTTCTTTCCACCCCTTTGCTTTGGCTTTTCCGCCGTTGTCCGGAGTTACTAATGTATCGTACTGTTTTGGCCCTGCGTATCCGCTTGTGTATGTTGTTCACATTTGATTTCTTTTTCTCCTGTCTTTCTTCTCATTTTTTTCTCTCCTCAGGAGAGGATGCATTTTTTTTCATGTGGCCGTATGTTGTCCCTGCCCTTTTGGAGGGTATGTGCCCCTTTTGGCACATGTGTGCTGGGTACGCGTGGTCGGTGTGCAGACTGCGCAGCGCAGGTTGCGCATGCCTGCATATTATTGTACGCATTCTTGTTGTTTGTGGCCTTCTTCTTGAGACTCTAATTGGAGTAAGACTAAAATAATCTGTCCTCTGAGTGTGGCGTACGTGTGATGTATGACTGAGAGAGTAATCGGAAGGGCTATCGCCGAGGCATAAAACTCCCCGACGACACGAACATTTTCGACTTGATTTGATACCAGGCCAACCATGAGATTGGCTATAGTTAATACTGTGGAAATTTGGCCTTATCAGTGCATATCCTAAAGAGATTCAACTGTACCATACCTGGCTAGCACACACACACACATCATAAGACCAAACTGAGACTTACGGACACATTTCTCAGAGACGTTTCTATATCCATTAGCACAGATGCATCTGCGGCGAACTATTATATCCTCGAAACAAGTACCGCAGTTGTGAACAGATGGACCTACGCGACGGCGACGGCAACAGGAATAATTTGTCAAACCAGAATAACAAGAGATAGGACAAGAATGAGAGGATGAAAAATGTGTTGTTACTCCGCGTTTCACGCACTCTAAAGCTGTGTTCACAACTGGCGCGTGTACGCGTGAAACCACGCGTTTGGGCGTAGTTTTGCTGGCTTTTGGAGCGCCATGCGTACGGAAACGAGCCGAAATGGAAATTTCAGCATGTTGGAATTTTCAGCGCGTATCAGGCGCGTACCAGCGTACATGCCAGTCACTTTGACTGGCGGGGTCAACAATTAGTACTCGAAGGTGTCGCACGCCCTAAATATGAGTCGAATTGCTGTTTCTTGTGACAGCCTGAGCGCGCGTTTGGGCACGCATGAACTGCAAGCGTACCGCGTCCACGCGCCAGTTGGGAACACAGCTTAAACAGAGTGAGACAACTGTGCACGGAACCTTTCTGTTAACAGGAGATATGATAACTATAGAGGTCATGCGATTAAATCATCCGCTGAGATGCTTTGGCAAAGTCATGTCAAAGCGACGCACTAGCGACTCACTAGCGACGCACTAGCGGCACACTAGCGGCTAACTCCGCACACATGTACATAGCACCCATCAGCGGTTCCACAGTATACACAGCGGCGTGGTGCCAGCACCCATTAGCGGTTCAGGAATCGGGCTGACTCATGGCTATGACTTCATTCACATAGCCTCTACAACTCAGTGTGTGTCCGTCAGTACTCGACCAAGTCTACCAGTAGCATCATGCATACAGGTATGCATTATATGCATTAAGGAGCAGAATGTAAGCAGGTTGAAGCTCTAGGAACGACTCCACAAATTTCAGTCCACTGCATTGTCTGCTCTAGGATATCAAACCAACCAGGTACACGTGTACCTGGCACAACTCTTGCAACCGGGTCAGTTCCGGGTACATTCAAGTGCGGCTACTGTACATCGCGATATCAGGGAGTGTTAGGACTCCCTGATTGAGTCCCAACCGGGTCGCAAGTGACCCAATATTCTTTTTCCAAGCGGCTCAAGTACCCCCCCCCCCCCAACCAGGTCGCTAACTGCTCTGGAGCAGACATGTGTCGACACTGCATTGAGTACTCATTTTCATGGTCGAAAAGTTACGAACTCAGTACATTGTAGTCTGCCAGATTTTACCACTGACTTGGCACAGGCAAAATGTTACCTCTGATAGCAGAGTAATGGCCAACGCGACCTTAACATGAACACAGAACGACTGACTCATTTCAATTCCGCGCCCAGTATAACCCGGCAGGCAGGCATAGTGGGATGGTCTAAGACCATGATTGAGAAACAGAGGGTACCTGGTTGAAGTCCTGCCGGGAAACGAAATACGCCAAAAGCGGTGTGGAGCAAGGTTGCACAAGTAGACAATGGCGGGAAGCTTGGTTCGGCTGTTACTCAGAGCTTCATGGCATTTCATGGCACATTGCGGTATTGAGTACCCCTGCAAGGCAAGGGCACCTTAAAATAAAACTAAGTACGGTATATCATATTATTGATTTCTTTGTGGCAGCTCCTACGCACTCTGACGCTGCATTTAGTTAATCGGCATACACGTGGCAAGCAGTAGCATCGACACGATAAAGATACACACAAGATAGCTATTGCACATCCGTCCAATCATCACTGTTGGCTTGCTGCTCTAGTTGCCAAACAGTTCATAAAACGTAAGCGACTTACGGTCGCCTGGTCGGCAGTCCTGATGTCCATGTGTCACGTAAAGAGGTTGCGTTTGGTTAGCTGCAACACAAAATACAAAGCACGTGTTAGTTCAGACGCATTCGTCGCCAGCGGCATCACTTCCCACCTGGAGACAATACCCTGGCAGTTACACACTCCCAGCGACGATTAGTTGGAGCAGCCACGCAAAGCAACAACTTTGCCCGTTTCACTACACTCTGTCAACAAGTCAAAGTTCTCCTTTCTCTGTTTGAGCAGCATTGGCCAACTATGACATGGAGATTCAGCCCCCGGAAATATTTAGTATGCGGTTCAGATGCAACTCTTGAGAAGTACCTATTCGTTTGCATGAACTTGGACAACGAGGAGGCGTGTGAATTAGAACAAGCGTACAGTTAGCACTCCTCAACAGTGTCTACAACATTCAACAGGTGTGCTCTATAACACACACACACACGCACGCACACACAGACACACACAGACACACACATGCACACACACGTGCACGCAGACACACAACTTCACAAGCATGGACGCGCACACGCACACAAGCATGTAAACACATACACACATAAAGATTATGACATGTATAGCTATTTTAAATCGCATGGCAAACTCACCAAATAATAAACAATGGAGGCTGAATTCGTTCTCTCGAGCGTAGTGCGGACAGCATATCGGGCGACTGACCACAAGAAGAACAAAAAGAAAAACATCCAATTGGTGCAAGTGCCATGATGAGAGCACAGATTTCAAAACGAATTATGTGTGTGTGTGTGTGTGTGTGTGTGTGCGTGTGTGTGTGTGTGCGTGTGCGTGTGTGTGTGCGTGCGTGTGTCCCCTCTGGGGAGACCCACGTGACCAGTTTTGGCAGTGAGCAACAAGTACAAGTACAAGTGTGTGTGTGTACAGTCAACTTCGCTAATAACGACTGCGGATATAACGACAATTCGCGAATAACGACAGCATTTCCATGCCCAGAGCAAAGTCCCTTCCAACTGTAATACATAAATGAGACTTCGGTTATAACGACACTTCGCGAATAAGGACACTTTTTTGATGCCCCGCCGAGTGTCGTTATAAGCGAAGTTGACTGTATGTGTGTGTGGGGGCATGTGTGTGTGCACCCGTGCATGTGCCTAGATGTGGCTGATACCAGTATATAATTATAACAAAGCAATAGGACTGGATACATGTACACGCCTGCCATGCCTACTCCGAACAGACGATGAACCAAAAACGTACAATACACACCTCATACGCTGCCCCAGGGTGGAAGATTTGAAGGGGGGGGGGGGGGATTTACACTGCACGAACTGTCCCCCTATGCACATGAGTTGACTCCTGAGAGCGGAAAATGGGCCGCTTGCTCCTCACAGTCCGCGACATTATCAACACTGATAACATTGACACATTGCTGGGAATGTCTGAGCCACGCCACGTTCTAGCATGCCGCCGTATCAACTTGATAGCAATGCCAGTGCTCTTGACAGCTATGCTATGTTTGTGCTAAGGCAATGAGTCAGTCAAGCCGCTCCGGCCAGCCTCTGGGCCGCATGCAGCAGATCGCTTGCCAGCGCCTGCCGGGACACTGCAGACGCAACCAGTGCCACACCCTGGACCCATTCTCATACTGTACATGTAGTGTGCCGACTATCCCCTATGTAAGCTATGTTATCTAGTTTGGGAAGAGAAGGGCGCTTAGCCAGGGGTGATGCTATCTTCACTGAACGGATACTGACGCTAATACTACCATGATCATTCTAGATACACTATGAGAGTCCTGAAAGGCGTCCGAAGCCTGGCGGCTTACCACAGACTAAGAAAGCAAGACTAAAAGTGGCCGCTAGCATACTCCCTTGTTCCACAGGAGTTCACTATAGACGGTACAAAATCCCGTCGGCCATCAACTGGCGATACGCCACAGTAGAATTATTCCAGGTGCAACCCCAGACAGCCGCATGTGGTAGCATTCCTCGCGGTTGTGTTCAAAAGGAACGGTCCACACTCGTAACGTATTGCCGCCGTTCTGCAGAAGATATCCACAGGCTGGAATTGCAGGCATCCCAGTTCATGACAGCTGTGTCTTCTGCTCACTGCCATAACATGTACATCACCAATGCACCATCTCCACTGCTGAGGCAGTTGCCACCAGATTTGAAAGGTATGTGGCTTAGTGTGCGTGCTACTCCTGACAGCCACTGACTGTCACCTGGTCACACAACGTCAGGTTAGTCTGCAGATCTGACAATCACCAGAGTAACTATGTCTATGATTTCAACACCACTTCACAAAAGAAAGGCGGGAAAGGGCCATGCGTAAAGCAACAGTTCGATCTGAAAAGGAGACTATTCCGTGTGCATTCACAGACTGTCATGTGCACAGCCCACAGCACAACAACGACACAGGTCCCACGCGCTCGAACTCTCTCGATTCATTATCGACAGTACACGCACACACACTAAAAATCGAGTGTTACACTCTATCTTTGTTCTAATTGTTGTACTTGTGGCGCATGGCCAGCATGGAGGACAGTCATTGTTTTTTCTAACATTCCACTCCACGAACGAAGCGCATCTCGCACACTTTCAATCTCTTGCTCTATCGCTCGAGTGCAACACAGACGTTCCCAAAAATAAAATAAACTTCATGATAAGCGATCAAGCCATTGCACAGCAATCGACAAGAACACGGAAGGCTTGCCTTTCCTCGACGGCTGCATGCTTGGTGGAGCAACTGGCTTTGTTGTGTTGTGATGGACACAGCATCAAGTTTTCGGTCACTTTGTATTGTACGACAGACATGTAGTCGAAACGGTACACGCAAACTACGGTAACAGTCAGTCCCCTGCCCCTACATTGTAAGGTTCATTCAGTAGGCTTCAGAGCTAGCCGACCAGCATGCAGACCAGAAACTGAGAAAGCACAACTACGCGTGTACGTGTAGGTATGAGAAGAACATAGCAGATGGCGTATCATAATTATCACGAAGCACCTCCGCGTGCTCTCAGTTATACGAAACAGGGAGAAAAGATCGTGAATGTACAATATGCACTGATTTGTCACTTTGTCTCTTCGAAGGTGACTACACGCGAGAACGAGCAACACAACCACCCCTCGACTTGTGAGACCAAGTGGTGCGAGTAAAGTTTCCACCCTCTCTTTCTCTGATGATCTCCCTGAAAGAATTCCCCAAAAATACTCATTCCAGGTACAAAGATAAGGGTGCAGTCGGCACCCAGCAAAGAACTGACTGACGTGACATGACTCGAACTTGGGGATTTCGGCCAGGAAATGGAGGAAATTCAACGATAACACGGCGACGAGCACGACCGTGATGGACGACGGGAGAAGAGGAACAAAGCAAACTGCCCAGTGTACTAGTGAGATAGCATGAGGAAGGCGAGCAAAGAACAAATCTGGCAGCACATACCGCCGCATCAACAGGACTAAACTACTCGAGTAATTAGTTCGGACCACGCGCTTCGCACAAAATATTTCCGTTCAAAACTAACTTACTTATTTCACGCGCGTACACGGACCACAAATACATAAAAAGAAGATGATTTACCTGGAGCTATCCTTGCAAACATTCACTCCATTCGGCAGCAAGGTCACGCCAGAGAAATTGAATTCGTCCGGGTAGAGAATATCTCGCGCCTCAGCGATTTGTATTCTCCCAAGCAAGAACACAACCAGCATCACCAACAATATCAATACTGGCAGAGCTAGAGACCCATTGCCGCTGCTGCGTCGCGACTCTCTCCTCTGTCGACACTCAGCGACAACACTACTCGGCCTGCTGCTAATGCCGTCCATGGCAGCAGGTATGGACTTGTCGACTCGTCCAGGACCAGGGCTTCCTTTCCTTCAGACAACTGGAAAATCTTCCAAGCAGCGCCGAACATTCACACCGAGATTTCTGCACCCTTTGGAGTCTAGCGAACGATCTGGGAGTGGGAGTAGTCGAGTGTAGATCTACACGACTACAGTCAGTCAGTTCTATCATGAGCGGGGTAACCAACCAGTTAGTTACCTGCAACCACTTGCTTGCAGACAATGCAGTGGAAGTACAGGTTCCTGCTCGCTCGATCGAGGGCAGTACCGCGGAATCCAGCCCGCGCCGCGATAGCGGCAAGGGCTGGATGAACAGCGGTACTGCGTCTACTGGCCGAGTATGAGTGACTGGAACGTGTTTCCCGTGTGCACCCAAGCCAAATAAAGAGATACATGACAGACACACCTGCATTGTGTTTTGTGATTGTTTTCTGGTAGAGGAGACGGCTCGATACCGGAACGTTTTGACAGCCAAATTTGTATAGACCCAAAACGATCATCAACGTTGATTTTTCACTCGAAATATGTTTGTGGAAGGAAACTGGCATGTTGAAGTTTGCTCTGGGGCCAGAGTCAATCGAACTGAGCCACTCCTTTGGGTTGACCCATTGCCTCCAAGTTGCCCAATTTTTCGCTTCAAAAAAGTTCAAATCAGAGGTGGCTCCAAACCGGACACGTTTTAGAGTGCCCGTCAAATTCACTCTGGGTCTGAAATTAGGTAATTGCTATCGCTCCACGACGGCCAGTACAGAGTAACAATAAGCCTTGTGTGTGCTTCCATTAGTTTTGATTGGTATGCGGTGCTTTATTGTCGAGAGGCGAGCCGCTGTTTACCTGCGACAAGAAGTTGATTTTTCGAAAGTCGTAAAACTCAAGTCGCAGTGCGAAGCAACACGTCAAAAACTCACCTGCTTGATATGGCGCTTCTGGTCATCGCAGAGCCATGAAATTTTGGCTCGGAGTATAACACATCGTAGTCTCACTGTGACATATGTTTTCTAATCAAAATACCAAGAGAGAAAGTGAATATTGAGTCCGTTCCGGTTTGCAACCTATTTCCTATTTGAAACCGTCGCCTCTACAGTTTTTGGTAGTAGCAAGAGTAGATAAACAAGAGTGTGCAACTCCGGATCTCTCCTGCACAATCTGCAGATACCCCCGCCCACGGCGGAATTTTTTGTTGACGTCACCTTTTTTCAGAAGAATGCGCATTTTGCTAGCATGCTGCAGAGCAGTGTGAGAGCACGTGCTGGGCACCGACTTTGTAGTGCAAATGCGGCCAAGTGCACGAAAGACTCATAGCGCGTGCGTCGTCGAAAAGATTACGTCAACAAAAAATTCCGCCGTGGGCCAACCCATCCGCGAGTTGCACACTCTTGTTTATCTACTCTTGGTAGTAGTCCATACTGACCATATATGCATAGTGCTTTTTTTCTCGCGGTGCCATTGACATTGTCGACTGGGCATCGGGCATTCTGGCTGTTCTGTTCCTACGGATTTTTCCCACGTCTTGATCGGAAACCTCGGCAAATTGCGCGGATCCTGCAGGTTGCTGAGCATTGCGCGCTTTGGTTGAGGCTCATCCGGCTCGTCCAAGATCTCCTTCGCGAGCGACTCCGCAATAAAAGTTTCAGTCTCTTCCTCAACTTTTCGCAATTTCGGAGGAGCTCATTCAGATCGCCAATATGATTATCGTTCAACAAAGGGGCTTCTTTTCTCCCAGTTCCAGATCAAATGTTGGAGCGCCATGATGACAGTTGTGGTTGCAAACAGTCGCTCTTCTGCTTTAGTTATTTTATTAGTAACCAATGAAAGACCTTGAAGTAGAGAGTCAGTCCAGTGCCAGTGGCTACTGCCCGACGCGACGGGCAGTGGAATCCGTTCCTGCCCGCGCCCGTCGTCACTTGACGACGGGCAGTGGATCCAGTTCCATCTGGCTTTGAGTTTGAGCAGGCAGGACTGCGCTTTCCAGCCCGCGCTGTTTGATCTGTCATTCAGTCCGTGCGCCAAGGGGTACTCAAGGGCTGATTTTATTTGCAACCGCGGGAAACGAAGTCACCAAGACGCCTTCATTTGAGGCTTTTGGAATTGGAGAATTTATTGAATTTAGGTATGGCTCTCGTCCCTTCTAGAGAACTAACCAAGACCCTGTGGGGGCAGAAGGAGACTTCTTTGGCTCCGTGAATACACTAGCTATGCGGTGGTCTAGTTAGTTTGAGTGTGTGGTTCGTATTCAAAGTGTTCCAAGCCGCAGTTCACTCGAAGGTCATCGTGGATACGTCTGCACTTGAAAATCAAGGCTGGAAAGGACTGCCTGGTGTGTCCGAACGGTATGTTTTGCACTGAAGGCATTTTTTGTATGAATTGTTGAAAGTGTCTACTTGTTCGAAATGCAAAAGACATGGTCGTAGATCCTTGGCCCACAACACCCCACTAAATAAACTATGACCTGTCGTGAAATTATGTGAAATTGATCAACACAATCATACACAAATTATCCTATGGCAAAGTACTGCAAATGCAAATAATAGCATCCCTTTACCTAGGTCATGTTTGTAGGGCCTTATGCCACATCTTTGCATGATTTCCTCATGCAAATCGTGTGCCTAGCTTCGAAAACACATTGCGCTAAGTGCCGAATATATACCTGTGAATCAGAACAACAGCACTCACTATTGCTTTCATGAGTGGTAATGGTCAGCTGAAAGGAAACTTCTATCCATCAACTCATAAGTAAAGTAATGACTAATCTCCTTGCTGCGCATGTGGTTCCTTCGTATTTACATGTACCGTAAAGTACCGCCAGAGCGCCCCACCATCTCGTCCTTTCGGGGTCGTATTGTGGGGGTGGTCTCCGGTCTGTAGGTTATACGACACGAACTTTGTACACATATTGCACGTTCTGCAGACAATCTGTGCCTTCGAGCGGACACGAGCTCCACACAAAAACCTGCTTAGTGTGACCTTAGTACACTAAGTTGCTCACACCGTACGAACTTCGTTGCACTCTGCCACACGATTTTCCTTTCCCTGGCTGTATTATATAAATCTGTCGCAGCAAAATCAAGGTGGGGCGCTCTCGCGGTACTTTACGGTATGTGCGCCTCTCTGTGTTCGGTGAATGATTTTGAATATTTGCGCACGACTTCAGGATAGTGCACATTGTATGCATGTACCTGCATATGTAATCCTTTCATGATTTAAAAATTAGGAGAGCCGTGCTTCTCATCACCGTGGACAAGTAAATGTCGGCCAATTACGTAGCGTTTGGAGATTTGCACAAGTACAGTTGCGTGGTGATTATGCGGCAACCGCGGAATAAAATGAATATTCTGGACGACTGAAGCTACAAAGCCATCTTGTGTTAACTTAACAGATAAAAAAGACAGTACTTCGAAGTACCTGTATTTATCACTAGTATTACCCTGAGACAGCCGTGCTCATCTCTAGAGACTGGCTTGTATTTAACTCTACGTAATGGCAACTTTCATGATGCTGACTGTCTACATTTACTTGAAGTAGGACTATAAATACTAAATATAAGGTCTATAAGCTGTCAGTGCGGTGCTGTTGGATACCCGACATGCCATGTGACTGACCGCCAGATACTAGTAAACGACATGCGATTGTACCGGTCACAGTGTAGCTGGGTTTTCACGACAATTTGAAACTTATACGATTGTGAGAAAAGTTCAGAAACCACACTTACGCATACACACACACGCACGCACACACACACACACATGCGCGCACGCGCGCGTGTGCACACACACACACACCTGTCCTGTTCTGTTGAGCCACTACCACAACTTAGCACAAGGATCGCATCGGCCCCAAAGGGGCAGTAGAGCGAAAGTGAGAGGTGTTGGCTTCGAGTTCACCTATCTCTACGGTGAACGCAACCTCGATCGAAAGTCATGCCAAACGGATTTATCTACCACACGCGCGCGCGCGTGCGCGTATACAAAACGGAGGAAGGATTACTTACTCTCCCTGTATGATGTTTCTGTTGTATTCGTGAACAATGTCATTGATGTTTTTCCATGCATGTTTTTGAATATGCGAGCATAACTTCCAACATCAAGCACATTCTTGCTTCTCATCAGCATGTACAAGTTTATGTTGGGCAGTTATGTAGCGTTTGTTTTACCGGCTGCGTTTGTTGGTGCTTGCAGGTCATTGGCATGCTGTCTGTTTCACAGAAGCTCGTGTAACAGGTTCACCGTACAGCTATGAATGCAATGTAGCGTGTTGAAGCCACTTCGGTATGACGTGATGCCTAATTTCCTGGTTGTACCAAAATTGCGAGTATGCAAGTGATCGTCAAGCCTGCCCCTGTACAGTAGCCGTCTTGCCTTGTTACGCCTGGTTCTGACTCTGCGTTCTCGTTTACTCCATGCAATGTTACAAGGAATACTGCTCCCTTCTCAAGCAATTAATTGGCAACAAAACGCTCGGCTATGCCCTGTAACTTTGCTGTGCGGTTTGTGCTTTGTCAATGTTGTGTACCAGTTCATGATCTGTGCTTGCTGGTCTGTTTGTTTTCTCTCGCACAATTGAGGCGCTGTAGCACAGTGTACAGTGTCGATCATCCTGCCCAGGCTCTGATTTCACGTACCACAGTACAGTTTCTCTTGTTGCTCACTGTAATGTGCATGATACAAGCTCCTTGGTACTCCATCATCACCTGGTGCTGTTGCTGCCATTGTTGGACCCTGCTGATATCCTTCTCGCAATGCCCGAACGTTGTTCCAACAAATGCACAACTCGCTCTTAGTTGTCACATTCGGTTTGGTCTCGTTCCAGTCTTTCGAATTGAGTGAGTGCGTAAACTTGTATGAAGTGGTGGAGCAAAAGCCGTGTGCCGGCAAACATTCAATGTCCGGGTGTAATGACGCACCAAGGTCCCGGGACTTGCGTCCAATTCCTGAGTGATTTTTGTGTGCCTAGCCTCTAGGTATCATACCATATTTGTTTGGTTCAACCGTTTTGGATGCCCACTGCAATACCATTCACTGTATTATGTGTGTATGTTATCCAAGAAATCTCCCATATTTTTGGGTGGACAAACCTCGCCATAAGTCAGTAACCTGGCATTTTGCACTAACAGAACTCCTAGGATATCAGCGCCGTCTCAGTACCTGGGGACAGTTGTAAAGAAAAAGAAAAAATATCCTTGGCCC